CTTCCAACTTTACTACTATTACTATTCATAAATAACAAGTATAAAGATAATTTAAGTAGATTAGCAGCACAAGTGTCATAATGTGCTTGTTACCATAGCTATGGCACACATTTCAAACAAGAGATTTTATTTCATACTAGAATCCTTTGCTATGGCAACCACAGTGCTTATTATTGATATAATATGATATAATTTTTACAAGCATTATTCATCTAATAATTTGATTCTTGCTTTGTTACACATATATTTATTCAGTAGGTATGATTAATTCAGTTTTCACTCATAACAAAAATGCAGTTTTATTACTTTAGTATATAGTTCAACTATTCCCAGTTCTCCATTATATAATATTTAAAATGAAGGATATTAGCCTAATGCAGCATATATATTGGAATCTGAATGAAAAAACAAAACTCTTAATGTTTGAAGGAGTATATTTGCCAACCTATAGACTATGTTTGGTTTTCCTATGTAAACTTTGCAAAATAATAGTTCACTTAAAATATTTCAAAATATATAACAGGCAATATATGTGTGGGTGTGTATGTGTAAATGAATGTTTATAATATTATTGTTATATAGTTTTATTGTATAAAACCAAACAAGAATAAATACATACAGTACAATAAAATTTATGAAAAATATAATCTTAACCATAACAATCCTAATAATAATTTTTAAATGACTAAAAGATTTTGGAAGTTATTTTATAAATAGAAGAACTCCAAAATCCTTTACCATATTGCAGAACAGTCTTCTTCCTTGCCTCTCTGTTGAAAATAAAAGCTAACTGAAATGTTGACAAGACATCCTACATGAACATTGCTGCCATTCAGGTTTAAATTTGTCCTTTCAGTCTAGTTTGATAATTATTTTGGCAAGCTTCATGCCTCTGAAAACTAGCATACTTGCTGTCTTGATCCATCCTAAAACATATTAAGCTTTAACACACAATAATTGAATGAGACTTATATTAACAGTTTTTATTCTAGCCAGGTTGGATAAATGCTTTATAATAAATTTATAGTCTGGAATGTTGAATCCACTTTTTACAACATGAATTTGTAATTTGCACAGTGAAAATCAAGATATGCTTGCTAAAGTACTGAGAGCATTGCTAAATTATTTAATGTAATTTATTGGAAAATATGTAGATGGCCAGTAAGAATGTAAATCAACTCCACAGTTATTTAATCACTTTTATTTTACCCTATATATTGTAGACCTTGTTACTCAGTTGTCTCCATTTTTATAATCATGTGATCATTTCAAATTTACAATTCTGAGAAAAATCCCTTGACATTTTTATAGCAAGATAAGTGAAGAAGACAAATGCTAATCTAAAACCTTAGTCCTACTTTGCTGGGTCTTCTAAAACTTAGTTCTATAAATATTTTCAGAAAGTCTAATTATATTAGCAATAAGTACTAAAATAAAATCAAAACTATAGAAAGAAGGTATCTTTGATGTGTTCATAAATTTGATCAAGGAGGAATTATACCATTAATAATAATCCATGATTTAAGCTTTGAATGAATCATATCAGTCTAAAATATAAAACTTTGGGGAAACTCCAAATAAGACAAAACTGTTTCAGAAACTTCTAAGAACCATCTCAAAACTTTTTAAACATTCAGCTAAGTTATATCTGCAGTGTCTTTTCTGCTTTGATTTAAAAGTATGATATCAATTAAAATCCTCATATTTTATTGTAGGTTTCATGGCACTGCGTAAATTGTTAAAAGATGTTTCTTGTAGTTAAGAGAAAAGTATAGATCTATGAATAATTATAATTACAGAAATGCCAAGATTATGTAAGTCCTGCCTTATATAATTCTGAAATTATACAAGTGGATACAAAATAGATTACTGCAATTTTATGCAAAATGCCAAGCACATGTGTGTAGTACACAATTCAACTTGCATAAACATTGTTCCTGGATTGAAATCTTTGTATAACTTTGCGACCATCTGTATGAGAAAACCAACATAGGAATTGTGAAAGGGATTTTCATTACAAAGTTCTTAATAGTCTTCTGGAGGAAGAAGCAGTGAAGAACAATGCATGAATGAGTAGATAGATCTTTGAATCTCTCCAGATAAAGAGGGATTGCACACAAATGCTTGAGACAGTTACTCCTTATGAGGAGACTGCAAGACAGTGGTCGCTGGTGGATTTGGAATACTGGGAGATGAGTGATCTTGCTCACACCATGGTCAGCATCTTTAAAAGGATACTGGGTTCACACACTTCCTTTTTTAATCAGAATCACAATTGTTTATTAACTACTTTTCAGCTATTAGAAGCCAAACCTATTGACAAGTTTGAAAACACTGAGTGAGTATGCCTTAAATCCTTAATGAAACAAAAAAATAACTACAAGCATAAAACCTTTTTTTAAAGAAGATTTTACATGGAGTAAGGGTGCAGATATGTTTGAAATAAGATCTGGAACTAATTATAAAGACCCCGTCCTGTGGGACAGTGAACTTGTTTTATTTTTTTTAAGACATAAAAAAAGATAAAAACTGGATACTTAAGGGAACTGAAGACTTCACTTGAAGGAGAAGAATATATAAACCAGATTAATGGATACAGAATAATGCAAAATATTATAACAATGGAAATACTAAAGGATACTTTTGAAAAACAGAATCAGAAGTTAGTATAAACAATGCAGTGTCAATAGCAATGTTTGCTTCTAAGGACAGACTGTATCCAAAAGATGTTTTAGAAGAAATGATAGAAGAGGAACAAGTTTTATCTGACAAGACAGAGTTGACACTGGAAATGGGTTTACAAATGATAGGCTACCAGAAAGACAGGAAAATGTTTTATTGGACACAGTAACAATAAAAAATGTTTCATGCTTTAAAAAGTGAGAGAATTACAAATAAGAAATGAAGAGAATAACCTGGCTAATATTTTTATTGGATTTACAAAAGAGGTTTGTTAAAGCTTGGATGAATCTTGTAAGAAGGGGTAAAAAAAGAAATAAAAAGCAATAAAATGTTACGACATTACTTGAATAGACTAAAGATTATGATTGTTAGAAGCAAAAGGAAGTAATATAAAGTTGATTTATTTGATGAAGTTTCAAATAGATATGTTATTATTTCTGGCAACCCTTAATGGACTTTTGCTGATTCGAGAACTGAAATGATGATGCTTTATGGCAGTGGTGGCGAACCTATGGCACGTATGCCAGAGGCGGCACTCAGTGCCCTCTCTGTGGGCATGCATACATGCCCCAGAGAAGGCAACCAACCCTCTTCAACCAGCTAACGCGCTGAAGTCCCACATGGTTGGATGCATCCCAGCATCCATGCGCTTGCTGGCCTCTGTGTGCAGGGGCCAATGGTGTCAGGCAGCAGCCGCCCCAGCCCCTGCCTCACCCTTCCCTGTGACAATGGCACCCCCACACTGCCTTGCCTTGCCTCGCCTCACCCCGCAGGATGAGTCTACTGCCCACCGCCCCACCTGCCAGAGACCCCCTGGATCTCTCCAACCCTGCCCAGCCCCCATAGGCATCCCTCCCCACGAGCAACATCGAGGTGATCACACCCACCTTGGCCACACCCACCCAATCTGCCATGACCACCACCATAGCCACGCCCACCTAGTGGGCCATGCCCACCTGGTACCCAGAGATAAATAAGTTGGTTTTGGGTTGCAGTTTGGGCACTCGGTCTATAAAAGGTTCGCCATCACTGCTTGATGGATTTGTTTATATATAAGAGATGGGAAATAGGATGAAGAGATAATTGGATATAAATTAAAAGACAGTAAAAAGTTCCTGAAATTGTTTATACTTATTTTGATGAAAGTTGAAAGTCACTTCTTTATATGTGTATTTTCTTTTTCTTCATTGTATTGGTACTTTTCTTTATTTTCTTTCTTTCTCTTCTCTTAATTTTTTTTATTTTCCTTTGCAGTATATACTCTTTCTTTCTATTCTTCTTTCCTTCTTTTACTATTGCAATTATAATCTTTAATAATTATTTTGAAAAAACAGTGTTCTTAATATTATAAATAAATAAAACACTCTACTAACAGCTTAATGCTCGTATACTGCCAAGTGGAGCTTAAATTATTTTCTTAGTTCTATCTATAGTTTATCTTGAATGAACACCAAGGAAAAGATAATTCAAAGCTATTATGATTAAGTCCTGTACCTGAACAAAAGTGAAAGCAAAAGAAATATTCAGTATATTGAAACACCTCAATTCTAGACACTGTCTAGACCAGTGGTTCTCAACCTGTGGGTCGGGACCCCATTTGGGGTCGAACGACCATTTCACGGGGGTCGCCAAACCACGCTGTCCGCCATTTTTTTCCCTTTTCCCTAGCTGTCCTACTCCCTCTTATTGGTGGCCACACCCATTTGGGGGTCACCACAACATGGGGAACTGTATTATGGGGTCACGGTATTAGAAAGGTTGAGAACCACTGGTCTAGACACAGGCATATTATTTCAATTGATAAATCCATTTACCTGTACTATTAGTGTTACATACATGATACATGCAGATGTAGAAAAGCAAGGATAATTAAGAAAAACTGTAACATGTAAGAAGTCACAGTCTTCATTTTAGTTTGTGGAGGGGAGCGGCTATTTGCCACCATTATAGTTTATTGGGTTTTTCAGTGCTTACATATATATCTTGCATAGTAGATAAAGAGAATTTAAAATTTAAAAGATTATAACACACCAAATTATATGATTCTCGTTTGTATCAACTTCATAGAAATTTAATAAGGCTAAGATTCTCAAAGTAAGTGACTAATTCAAGAAATGTAGAACAGTATATTCTTTTTCTTTTTGTTATGATTTATTAATTCCAGTGAACTAGTTGAACATAATTAAAAAGCAAACTGATTTTCTTTAACATTATTATCAGATTTTTTTCTAATTTTGCAAGCAACAATGCATTATTGCTAAAGGAAAGAAAGATTTCTGTTTAAAATAATAAATCATAAGGATCATTATATTTTACAGAAACCCAGCAAACATCCATTGACAGTGATCATCTAGAAGCATACCCTTTGGAGCAGTTTGCTGGCCTTCTACATGGATCATCACCTGCTTGTGACCCACCAGAAAATCCATTTCAGCTCTACAGAAAAACTTGTCCAAAGGATGACTTGAATCAGAAAATTTGTTTGAACCTCAGTATTTTGAATCCACAACAATCTTTGCAAGAAAATAGCACTGGTCTTCTGGTTAAAAAGAAAAAACCACCAATTTTGAATAGAACTATATTCCCTTCTAAAAACATTATAGGAGAAGCTAACACATTGGCCGGTATCACAAGAACTGGAGATCAGTGGGTAATTAATGCTGCAGGAATTGTAGAACGTGCTTGCACACTTGGACGAATACGATCTTTGCCAAAGACACTTCTTGACATTCATTTATCCAAATACATTTCTAAATCAGACTCAGATCTTATTTCTTATCCATCTAATGATCACAAAGCAAGACAGAATTGGAATGATTCTTCAGCTATCCAAGAAACCTCTAGAAGAAATTCTGAAAGAACACCGTCATTTACTTCAGAATGGGAAGAAGTAAGTATTCATGGAGGAAGAATGGTGAATAAAATAATAGAATTGCATTTCAACCCTTGCCGTGCCTCCCACAATATCCTCCCACATCATCCCCAAACCTTGCCACACAATCCCTCATTCCTTCACTCACCCAACAGTAGCCACTTACCTACCTGCCAATCTGGGACTTGCAATTTCCTGCCAGCTTTTTCACTGATGCGGATTGAGGGAAATCAGCAGGAAGTTGCCATTTTTTGAAGTCTAGGTACACTGTCTAGCAATACTAGTAGCCACATAGCCTCAGAATGCCCAGGGACAGAGCAGCTTGCTTTTGTTCTGCAATACCTTTCTTTCTAGCCCAGGCAAGACAAGGCATGAAATGCCAGGAGAAATGAAAGTGGTAAAGAGCTTTCTTCCAGTTTCATTTTCCCACCACCTCCCTACAACTTCTAGCCTTCTGCTTTTAGCTTTAATGATCACATTGGGGAGAGAAGAGATGGGGGGTCATTAAGCCAGGTGATCACATGGGTGCTTCACTTAACAGCCATCACAACTTGTGACCCATAATATCAGGCTATTGAGGACTACCTGTTTAGATTTAAAAGATCAAATCCCTTCAAAAAGAGTAATATTTACTTCCTATGCCATGATTGTTATCAGATGGGGCCAAACATCTTGATCTATATTAACCACCATAGTTAATATAGAAAAAGTTGTGATACGTCGCAACATATTTTGTGACGTCGCAGGTTTGACACCTGTGATATAGAACAAATACCTAACAATTTTATAAAATATGCATAGCTTGTTATTTTCCTAAGAAAAAGAAAAGTTAGGGAAATTGATGAAATACAAGTATAAATCATTCATAGTGTGCTTGCATTTGATAAGATCAAATATTCAAAGATCATACATCATTTTTCTTTCCTTCCTTCCTTCCTTCCTCCTTCCTTCTTCCTTCCTTCCTATATAATAGCACCCACTGAAAACTTTTTAGGTGCGTATTTAATGAAATGTTTCCAACACTGTGTGGATTCTATATTATGATTATCTGAACAACTTTGAAATTCATGTTAATAATAGTTCAGCTTTAGCTGTTCATTTTGTGTTATTTGTAGATATGTGTATACTATTCTGAACTTTATAGTAACATTTAAATAACAAAAGTAATTATTTTGCCTCTACAGTTCTTATTGTATATATTTACATGTTAATTTAAATTACAATATGTGTTTTAAAAATCTCTATTTTTTCTTGCAGATTGATAAAATAATGAGTTCCATTGATGCTGGTATAACTACTGGACTTGAAGAGATTAGTGATGGTACTACAAGTAAGAAACGAATGCTTTATTTCCTTTAAGATTATATTAATGAAGTTAGAAAAATAGCAAATTTTACCAGCTTATTCAGACTGTCTTATATTTATACTGGAGTGTATTTCTGACTACAGGATTTTCTGGATATAGTTAATCGGTCAATCAAAAAGTTGCATTATGTGCCATCAAGTGAATGTTGATTTTTACTGATCACATAGATTTTCTTTAACCTAGTCCTTCAGGTCTTTTAATGGCATGCCCATTGCTGCAATAATTGTCCATCATCCTTGCTGTTGGTTGTTCACTTCCTTGCAGTGCTAAAATCACAAATCTGATTTTCTGATATTTCACAGAAAAATAAACATGACATGCAAATTATGCTTAAAACATGCTTTCTTTCTTTTCTTCTATTTCATATGAAAGGAAAGTCCAGTTTAAAAATAGTTATTGACAATGTTCATTTATTTGTATGAAACCTTATAATTCTTCCTAAAATTGTAAATAGATTTAAACTAGAGATTTTTCCCTATCAATTGCTGAAGAATGTTAATATAGATATGGTATCTTTATGTGTTATATTCCATGATGATTATATATATGTAGAATTGTTGTAGGAAGTAAGATACAGAAGGAATGAATAGGAAAATTGAGATGGGACATTTTGGTAGATAATTAAATTTAGACAGATTTTAATAATGTTCATGATATAGGTTAGAAGTGAAGCTATAATATTGCTATGGATACCTTTGGAAACTATCAATTGTATTTAGTCATCCTTAGAATGATCATGTGGACATGGTCATCAGCATATAAACCTATGTATTATTATTATTATTATGGATCATCGCACAGTCAGCCAGATGTTCAGACTGGATTTGGCATTTTGTCTACCTATCGAGTCCTTACCCAGGACCTGGGATAGGCAGATGTGGATGTTTGATGGTATTACAGATATCGTCGCAGGATGGAAGCAGTTCCTAGTAAGGCCGCCTTTTGCAATTGATTAATGGCGAATTTGTCAATGCCAATGGTGTTCAAGTGGTGCTCCAGTTGTTTTGGGATTGCACCTAAGGAGCCTATTACTATTGGTACTACCTTGCTTGCTTTTGCCACAGTCTTTCTATTTCTATTTGTAGGTCTTTGTATTTTGTTATCTTCTCCAGTTCTTTCTCTTCTATTCTGCTATCTCCAGGCCCTGCCACGTCCACTATCCAGACTTTTTTGTCTTTCTTATCGACAATTGTTAAGTCTGGGGTGTTATGTTGCAGGTGCTTGTATGTTTGAATTCTGAAGTCCCAGAGCAGTTTAATTTTATCATTTTCTATGACTTTCTCTATTTTATGATCCCACCAGTTTTTGCTTACAGGCAAATGATATGTTTTGCAGATCTTCCAATGCACCATTGTTGCTACTTTGTCATGCCGCTGCTTGTAGTCAGTCTGTGCAATCTTCTTGCAGCAGCTTACCAGGTGGTCCACTGTTTCTTCAGCTTCTTTGCATAGGTGGCACTTACTGTCTGTTGCTGTCTTCTCAATTTTGACCTTATATGCATTTGTCCTTAAGGCTTGGTCTTGTGCAGCCGGAATTAGTCCCTCAGTCTCTTTCTTCAATTTTCCTGCTCTTAGCAATTGCCAGGTCTTGTTATAGCTGTTTTCCCAGCTATTTTTTTAATGTATTGGCTATGTAGTGCTTTGTTTTCCCATGCCTCTATTCTGTTCTTCATTTGGTCTTTCTTGTAGGCCAGTTTGGTCTCTCCAGTAGTCAGTAAGCCTTCCTGATATACTAATTTCAGTGCATCTTCATCATTGTTCTTCAGATATTCTTACAAAGCCATTTTTTCTTCTTCAACCATCTGATGTACTTGTAGCATTCCACGCCCACCTATTTGCCTTGGTAGATAAAGTCTGTTAATGTCACTGCGTGGATGAAGGGCATGATTCATTGTCATTATTTTTCTGGTCTTCCTATCCATTGCTTTTAGTTCTGCTTGAGTCCAGTCCACTATTCCAGCTGTGTACCTAATGACTGGAATTGCCCAAGTGTTGATTGCCTTTATGGTATTTCTTCCATTGAGTTTGGACTTTAAGATCTTCTTCACTCTCTTGATGTATTCACCTCTAATCTTTTTCTTGACTTCAGTGTGCTTGATGTTGTCAGCTTGAAGGATAACCAAGTATTTGTAGTATTCTTCCTCGTCCAGACTCTTAATGTTATTTTCGTGGGGCATCTTGATTCCTTCAGTTTTCACTATTTTTCCTTGTTTGATAGCAAGTGTGGCACATTTGTCCAAGCCAAACTCCATTACAATATCTTGGCTATATATGCGGACAGTGTTGAGCAGCGATTCTATTTCAGATGATGTTTTTCCATACAGCTTCAGATCATCCATGGAAAGGAGATGGGATAGTCTGGTAGATGTTTTTGATGTTTGATAGCCATGTCCTGAGTTATTCAGTATTGTTGACAGAGGAAACAGTGCAATAACAAATAGTAATGGTGACAATGAATCTCCTTGAAATATTTCTCTCTTGATATTAACCTCTCCCAGTCTCTCACCATTGATCTGCAACTGTGTCTTCCATTGTGCCATTGATCTTTGCACAAATTTTCTGATGTTTCTACTGACTCCTGTTATTTCTAGGCACTTGATTATCCAGTCATGCGGCAGAGAGTCAAATGCCTTTTTGTAGTCAATCCATGCCACATTCAGGTTGGTCTTCCTTCTCTTGCAGTTTTCCAGATCATTTTGTCTATTAGGAGTTGCTCTTTTGGTCCTCTGCTATTGGGGCGGTTTCCTTTCTGCTCAGGTGGAAAGAGATTGTTCTCAACTAGATGCTGTTGTACTGCATGCTACTGCATCAGCTACCACACCAGTTAGTAATTTGAAAGTTGTTGGTAAGCAGGTAATTGGCCTGTAGTTACCTGGTGTTGCCCCTTTTGCTGGATTTTTCATTATTAGGTAGGTTTTCCCAGTTGTTAGCCACTTTTCAATTTCTCCTCCTTGTAGTATATTGTTGAACTGCTTGGCAATGAGTGGGTATATAACAGTTAGATGTTTCAACCAAAACCCATGCAGTTCATTTTCACCTGGTGCTGACCAATTTTTGATTTCCTTTGCTCTTTTTTCTACCATTTTTGTTGTTATTACTAGTTCTTTCATTTCAGCATCTGTTTTATTTGCATCCACCTCTTTTAACCAAGCCGCATCCTTGTTGTATTTCTTTGGGTTATCCCATATCTGCTTCCAGAACTGCACTGTTTCTTCCTTGTCAGGTACTGACTGATTCCTTGCAGTTTCTCCATTGATGGATTGGTAGAAACGTTTCTGATTGGATTGAAATTGGAGGTTCTGCCTATAGTTTGCAATTCGAGCTTCATATCTACTGATTTTCCTGGCTATAGCTGTTATTTGTTGCTTTATTATTTCCAGTGCTTCCTTGATCTTCCTTGTTTCTAAGTGGTATTTCTTGATTAGGTATTCTTTGGTCTTCTTGTTCTTCAGCTTCTTTTCTTTCATCTGTTCTAGCTTGCTTGCATGTGATCTTAACTTGCTGATCTTATTTTCTAGTCTAACCTTCCATTTTTCTGGTGCACTGTTTGTTTGTTTTTCTTCTTTGTTGATTTTGCATCCCAGGTATTCAGTTATAACTGCAGCTGTGCTGTACATTAGTTGGTTTGTTTCTTGCAGTGAATTGGTGCTTATACTTGATATTGCAGTATTTGCATCTTTTAATGCTTGTGCTAGCTGTTTCTTTGGAACAAGCTTCAATGCAGGCAGCCTTATTCTGTTGTTTTTGTGCTGTTCTAGATGCTCAGTTATTCTTTGTTTCAATTCTTTTATTTCTTTAGTTAGAGGGTTTTGTTCTTCCTGAGGAAGAGGTGCCTGGTTTCCAAATGAGAACAGTTGTATATCTCTGCTGGATTCCTTCACTGCCAACTCCCCCTGGTTTGCCTCTACATTCTGAATTACTTCTGGTAAGGCTTTGATTTCTTTGCCCTGGGTAAACCTTTGCAGTTCGTCCAATTCTGTTTCTGTGAATACTTTATTTCGTGTTATAAATCGGCGTTGATCTGCTAGTCTCTGTTCTGTTATTTCTGATTCTGGATGTTGTTCTTTCCAGAACTGGTGCATTCGTTTTAGATATCCTCTTCTTGTTGGACTTGATCTGTAGTAACAGATCATTATTTCTTTGTTTTCCATCACTGTGTATCTGCGACGGGTAAACACCTTTTCTTCCAGTAGTTCTGCAGCTGCTGGCCCTGGTTGCTCAGCCAACAGTCCTGAGTCCTGTAACCCATTTTTCACCAGATATCCAGGAACTCCAATATCTAGTGCGGACCTTGTTAACCCGGGCGACGTCCGAGCCGGTATGGCATTCTGAAATTTACGTCTCACCATATTTTTTATGGGAGAGACACTCTTTGTCTGACTCCTCTGATGAGACCTGTCCAGTATGGTTGAACCTCTGGCATAGCTCTCATCTTCCTCAGAGTACACAAGCCCCACAACCACGTCAAGGTAGTGCCTCACTGGGGGTTTATTATTATTATTATTGATTGCATAGTCAGCCAGATGTTCAGACTGGATTTGGCATTTTTGTCTACCTATCAAGTCCTTACCAAGGACCTGGGATAGGCAGATGTGGATGTTTCATGGTATTATAGATATCATCACAGGATGGAAGCAGTTCCTAATAAGGCCACCTTTTGCAATTGACTAATGGCGAATTTGTCAATGCAAATGGTGTTCAGATGGTGCTCCAGTTGTTTTGGGATTGCACCCAAGGCACCTGTTACTATTGGTACTATCCTTGCTTGCCTTTGCCACAGTCATTATAATTATAAGAACTATTATTATTATTATTATTATTAACAACAACAACAATAATAATAATTCTGTATCCTGGAACTGTGAGTGTGATTCCATAATTTTAAAACCTTATCTTGATTGAACTTCACTATTTTATTGTTAAAGAATAGTTAACTGAAAACTAGATGTTGTGCATATACCTGAA